ATGAGGCAAGAGAGAATGTTTTGGGGCATGGAAATCTTCACATATTGTTTGGAGTGGTTGGTTACACAGATCTGTTTCTTAAAATTCTATACAGATGTATACATTCCTCAAAACTCATCAAACTTACACTGAAAATAACTTCATTGTATTGCATCTAAATTGGCCTTCTGTAAGTTGGATTCAAAAGAAGTAATGGAGGAATTTAGTAGACAGGGAGGAGTTGACTACTCATGAGACAAAAGGGATGATTAATAATATAAAGTATTATTAATTTATATTATATTAATAATATAAAGTATTATAAGATGAGAATGTGTCCATTCTGTGAAAATAGGAGATTGAGTTATCTAATGTGCTAGTCTTAGTGTCTGGCACTTAATAGGGATTCAATAAATGTTTATTAAATACATGAATTAATTAATGAAAGTGAGTGAGTAAAAGAAAAGCCAAAGCACCTATTAGGGATTGGCCTTGGATATTTTCTCTGATGTAATAGAAGAACATGTGCAGATATAGGTAGATTTGAATTTGCAAGTTGGAAGTTGATGGAGTTTCCATCTGGTAACTTTATTTTTTCTGAAAATTTTGCTGGGTGAGGAGGAAAGAAAGGGGGAAGTAGGAGTGTTAAATGTTCAAGGATAGTAGAAATGTTTGAAATAATTTTGTTCTTTTGAGAAGGAGAAATCAAGTTTACAAAAGAAATGTAGAAACCTGGTGTGCAGTGAGGCCCTCTCAAATTGCTGGTCATGAATTTACAATGATACTAACTTTCTTCTAGTTTAACATTCTTTGAGAATGGTTGGACACTTGGGTACAAATGCAAAGAAGAAAATACTAGTGTTCACTTGTGGTATGGGTTTCAGAAGATTCGTCTGATGATAAGACAGACAAGGAGGTTTAGGGTTTAGCAGAAGTGTTATTCAGATAACAGAACGTACAATCTAAGCAACTTAAGAGGGGAAGAAGGGAGAAAGCTGATAAAGGGAGAGAAAGCAGAGGGAGTAAATGGACTGGGGATCCAAATGCAATTGAAGAATCTCTGTAGTGGGAGTAGTTGAAAAAGTCAAGCTATATCTCTCACCACTTTCTGGTTGGCTACCAAGAACCCCTCAGAACCTGTACACTGTGGGTGCTGTAGGAAACCAATCTATAGGCAGATAGAGAAAAATTAATGGGTTCTCAAGCATAATAGCAGAAGACAAAGCTGAATGATAGATGAATGCTACTGAGTCAGAATTAGCGAAAGAGACAGGAGAGAACTTTCAAAAGTGATGAGAACACTTCTCTTCTGTCGAGATATAGTGGTAGCAGGTAGCAGGTAGCAGCAGGCATTTCTCCAGCTACAATAACTATGAAAAGCAGATGGACTTAAAACTACGATTGAAGAGCTTTGGAAAGGCAAATTAAAAAGACTGAAAATACCAAGCATTGGTGAGGATGTAGAGCAACTGGAACTCTCATTCATAGCTGGTGGGAAAGTAAATTGATAAAACCGCTTTGGAAAACTGTTCAACAGTACCTATGAAAGGGAAATATATGTCTACCCCATGACTCATCAACTCCATTCCTAGATATATACCCAAGAGAAATGAATGTATATATCCACAAAAAGACATGTAAAAGAATATTCATTGTGATTTATTATTTCCTCAAACTGGAAAGAAAAGAACCCAAACTGGTATATTTATATAATGGAATACATTATATAGCCATAAGAAATATGACTTAGCTATATAAGCAAAAATGTGAAAGAACTGCAATAGGTATTGCACTGAGCTAAAGAAAACAAATAAGAAGGAGTGAATGTTGTATGATTCCTTATATGAAGTTCAGAAATGGAAAATTAAGTGATTATTTTAAATAACTGAAGAGATAAAAGAATAATGGTTCTCTCTCATGGGGGCACGGTGGCTTAGGAAAGGAGTGTGAGGAAACCTTCAGAGATACTAGAAATGTTCTATATCTTAGTTGGAGAGATCTGAATTAATATTCTTTAATAAAATTAAAGATCAAGTGGAAGAAATACCTAATAACACAAAAAAACTGAGTCGATTTTGCTTTTTAATCCAATCTAACAGACTTAGTTGGATTTATTTACCCTAGTGATGTTTATTTTGATCATTGACATACTTGATTTTATTCCTATCATTCTATTTGAAGTTGTGGTTTTTCTTTGCTATGTTTTCATCTTGTAATTTCTTTTGTATTTTCTGTCCCTTTTCTGAATTGAGCAATTTTCCTTTGTTTCCCTTTCTTTCTGGCAGTGTGGAACTTTGGTTACTTGTTCATAGCCTATCAAATACACATTTTAACCTGCATTTTTTCTATTAATGTAAAAATAAAAAATAGCTAGGCAACATGCCTCTTTTTTAAAAACCAAAAATTTTCTTTACCTGTTTTGTTGAAAAAAAAATCTGTTTTAATTCCAAGCCGCTATTAGTTTTTTTTTCCTTATAAATCATTATCACTTCAGGAATCCTTTCTTAAGAATTGCATTGGCCGGGCGAGTTGGCTCATGCCTGTAATCCCAGCACTTTGGGAGGCTGAGGCAGGCAGATTCCCTGAGGTCAGGAGTTCAAGACCAGCCTGGACAACATGGCAAAACCCCATTTCTACTAAAAATACAAAAAATCAGACACCTGTAATCCCAGCTACTCGGGAGACTGAGACAGGGAGAATCGCTTGAACCCAGGAGACGGAGATTGCAGTGAGCTGAGATCGCGCCATTGCACTCTAGCCTGGGCAACAGAGTGAGACTCCATCTCAAAAAAAAAAAAAAAAAAAGAAAAGAAAAGAAAAGAATTGTATTATGATTCACAACATCATCTGCAACATTTAGTAAGCTAAACAGCAGAATACATTTTACTGCATTTTTTGATCTACCACGGTTGTTTTTATATTTTGGTCCTCCCAAGTTTTGGCTGGAGATTTTGCCTGAGCAATTTGTTTAAGAGCGTATGGTTGATACACTTTTTGAGTTTGTGAATGCCCGAGCATCTGAAAGATAACCTAGCCAGATATAAACTTCCAGAGTCACAATCCTTTTCCCTTGGACCTTTGTTGATTATCTTCCACAAACAGTCAGGAGAAGGAAAGGTATAAGGTCATTTGCTGAGGTCTTTTTTCTTATTATTCAATATTATTTCTGCTTCTTGTTGTATATCTTCTGTTTGGTCAAGCTAATATTTTATCCACCATAAATAAACATTTATTCCCATTTTAAACCATCTTGTGTTATTTTCCCCATTTGCATATCCTTCCTTCTTTTCGCCATCCATCCCATTTTATCTGTTCTTCAAATCATATCTGAAGCATCCATGGAGCTTTCTCTATTTACCCCAGTTTCAAATTAATTTCCCCACTCTCATCATAGTATTTATTGTCTCTGCCATATGTTTTGCACTTCATAAAATCTTAGAATTTTATATCTGGAAGAGATCAGACTCCAACTTCCTAACTTTTCAGATTGAAAAAAGCTGTGGTCAGTGAGCCACATGTGTCACTTGAGTGATGTGAAGTCCTCAGGAATTCTGGGGCTACCCTTTAAGACCTAAAGAAGATGGTTCTCAAGCCCCAAACCCTAACTACATTCAGAAGTCCTTCCTTAAGATTTCTGTGAATTTCCAGGGCCTTCAGCTCTCCTCATCAGTGTTGCAGCCAGCATCCCAGCCATTGCTCTTGGCTCAGCTAGAGGCCAACTTTTCTCATCGGATCATGTCGAGAAACACAAGTGCCACCAACCTGTTGTACACAACTGACTTTTTACTGAAGATTTGTCTTCTCTAAAAGGGTCTAAGAGGTTTAAGAACAAGCAAGACTTTTGTAACTCTTATAGCTTCTAGTTTAGAGGGAGCCATAGAAAAATAGCAGCTTTACTTTTGGTGTTAGACAATGCTGTTCTGAAATTCAGCAGCCATTTCTCCTACAAAAGGGAAGTTTTATCTTGGCTATGTCCTTTCAGGTCATTGTTTCTTGCCATCTTCTTTCTTCTTTACTCTTCCAAACTCACACAATTATGTTTCCTTGGAGTAATCAGAGTAATGTATTTCTGCATTCTCTACCTAAAACGAAACAATCTTAAAAATATTCCATGACATAGTAAGATGTCTATATAGGAAAGCCAACACAAAGAACCAGCTAAAGCTTTGAAATACAGTTTTTTTCCCTTATCCTAAGGAGAACTCCATCCTTCATTAGTCTCTGGAAATGGAAGAAAAATAGTGTAATAATTTGCTTTCTCCTCGACCACAGAAAGCCTCTATGTGCTATGAACAACAGTTCATTTCAGTTACACATTTCGTTTCAATTACACATGAATTCTCAGGACACAGGTCTTCCTAGAGTCCTATACTTTTCTTTAGACTATATTATCATTTTCCCTGTTCCAGGTTTTATTCAATTTTACATTTTGTTATATGCTCTTTTCTAGTGCTTTATTGTTTTAAATATGTAATTCCTGCTTTTCTAGAGCCTAGTGGTTGGAAAGCAAGTATTAATTATTGAGATGGTCATGAAATAAAATATATACAGTATTCAAGGATTTTGTGTATTGAATAAGCATTATAATATGTCATTTGGTAAACATCTGTCATGCGCCAGATGACGTGCTAAGTGCTTTACATACATGGCCTCTACTCCTTTCCTTGCTCCTTTGAGATAGTACCTTTGAGATAGGTACTATTATCCTCATCAAACAGAAAAAGAAATTGACATTCTAGGAGAATAATTCATTTGATTCCACATGGCTAAATTGAGAAACTAGACCTGTCAGATTCCAAAACATTTTGCTCTTCCTACCATACCCCAGGCATTCCAGTGCTGACAATTGTTTCTCTAGTGGCTGATGTTTTTTAAATGAAAAACTTTGCGGTGCACTTATTGGGCAGTGACCACATCCTTTTTGCAAGATTACATTCTCTCTAAGTTTTAAGACCCATTCATTTTTAATGTGATTTTTAAAGCTCATATGTGAACCTGATAGTTTTCTTTCTGCCTTTCAGTTTGATCCATTCATGATTGAAAGCAAAACAGCAGCCACTGTGGTGTTAATGCTTCGTTCTCCAGAAGAGGAAGTTTTGGCTAAAGCATGTGAAGCCCTTTATAAATTTGCTTTAAAAGGTTTGGACTTTTTTCAGTTTATCTTTCCATTTCATTAATTTCTTAAAATATTTACTACCTCTTAGGCACTTTTCTTCCTAGTCTTTAACTTATTTGCTGTCAGATGAATTATTTCAGATAACCAGAATATTATTTAATGCATTACCTAAAAGCAATCTCTCTCCCTGAGTGCCTAGCTTAATCTTAAGGAGTAATTTAGTCACTGGGTAGAACAGTCATTCTGAAAGTTTCATTGTGGTTTTAGAAATTGTAAATGTCACAGAAACTAAAAGAACTCCTAATAGTCAGAGCTGGAACAATTAGAACAACAAAGTAAAGTAGTACTGGCTTATAATCCAAGTGGAAAATAAGTATCCATGAGTCCATACTGATATAAATAAATGAATGAATAAATGGAAGAGAAGAGACAAATGATTCCTAAAAGTTTATGTAGACACTCTTGACTTCAAGAAGGTGAAATATAACTCCCCACTCTTTGAGTGGGAGATGCACAGAGTGATTTATATCCAAACAGTACAACATAGAACTGGGGGAAAATAAGCTTATAATGGATAAACTTGACAAACACTACACCTCAGCTAGGTGATCAAAATCAACACTACCCATCTGGGCATGGTGGCTAATGTCTGTAATCTCAGCACTTTGGGAGGCCAAGGTGGGTGGATCACTTGAGCCCAGGAGTTTGACACCAGCCTTGGCAATGTGTCAAAGTCCCCTCCCTACAAAAAAAAAAAAAATACGAAAACTAGCCATGTATGGTGGTGTATGATTGTAGTCCCAGCTACTAGGGAGACTGAGGTGGGAGGATCACTTGAGCCCAGGAGTTCAAGACCAGCCTTGGCAACATGGCAAAACCCCACCTCTACAAAAAATAAAAACATAAGTCATGTGTGACGGCACATGTCTGCAGTCCCAGCTACTCAGTAGCCTGAGGTGGGAGGACTCTTGACCCTGAGAGGCAGAGGTTGCAGTGAACTGAGATTGTGCCACTGCACTCCAGCCTAGGCAACAGAGAGAGACCCTGTCTCAAAAAACAAACCAACCAACCAACCAAAAAAAAAAAAACAACCCCACCAACTGTGATAAGTCCTATTAATAATAAGTGCCCTTGACATGTGATAAAAATGACACTTTATTTCTGTGTTATTTTTCTTAAAAATCCATAACCCCAGTCTAATAATGATTTTTTAAAATCAGACAAATCCCGGTTCAGGTACAAAATACCTAGCTGATGCTCCTCAAAACTGTCATGACTATCCACAACAGCCAAGTCTGAGAAACTCACATGATGGAGGCATTATGACTAATGGCATAGGACGCTGGGACAGAAAGAAGATGATAGGTTAAAACTAAGGAAATCCGAATAACTAAGTACTTTAGTTAATAATAGTGTCTTCATATTAGTTCATTACTTGTAAAAAATGTACCATACTAACATCAAATGTTAATAATAGGGGAAACTAGGTCTGAGGTATGTGCAAACTCTTTGTACTGTTTTTGTAACTTTTCTGTAAAACTAATGTTGTAAAACAAAGCTTATTTAAACACTGTAAACATTACATATCAGGTTCTATTGAAAGGTTTATTCATAGAGGATTTAAAAACATACAAGATGCTTATATTTTAGTGCTCATATTACTACAAATGGTAAGATTAGACTTTTATTATGTTGCATGACAGTTTAATTGAGAATATTAATTTAATTGAGAGTTTAATGTAACTAAACTGATTTTTGTAATAAAACATTTCAAACTAATATAGGGACAATTTTGTTTTAAATAAATGATATTTGACATATTGTGTTGGAAATTGAATTAGAGAACAACAAATCATTCAATTAGCAAAGGGTACAATACTCACCTTGCTTTGTCACTCAGGTTATCATTGAGGATCCAGATGTAAACCTGAGTGTTTCTGGAAGGTACTATATCTTTTTGAATGGATGGTGTAGAATCCTGGGTCAAATTTCAGGGAGATATTGGATTGTGCATCTATGGCAGCATGAATCCCTTTCAGTCTAATAGAGTCATTATACATCATCTGGCTGTCACATGTATCTAATTATATATCTCTTTTTGCATGACATGAAGAAATAGATAGCAATGTATTTCCTATGAAATCAATACAGAAATAATTTTAAATCTGATGTTTTATACCAGTAGTGTTTTCTAAAATTAAAAAAATATATGATAGGACTTTGGCTTCTGGCCAAGATGGACCACTCTACTGCCTGAAACAATGAATGAAACAGACCCAATATGTGAAAGTAGAGTAGACTTACTCTATTGGTGGAAACAATGAAGGAAATAAACCAGATACATGAAATAACAGTTGACAAGACTATCAACATCAGACATTAAAGGGCAGTGACCACTGAGAGGCAGGAAACAAGGGAAGTAAACCCTATGATTGCCTCAGATTTTTGATTTCAGAGAGCTTTTTGGCCATAGCACTGGAACTCTCTGAGTTAAGAAGACAAACATGAAAGTCCAGAGAAATAAAGGCATTTAGAGTTTTCAGAACAGAGTAAAGGAGAGGAATGAGTTTCACAGAGGGAGAACTCAGGAGATCTGTAAAGGGTCCCATTCTTGTATTTAGAAGAGTAGTGAGCAGCATGTATATGTGAGGTAAATAGTTGGACAAAGAGGCAGCCAAAGGATTGGGGTAACAGTGCCTGGTGCTCACAGAGGGCTAGGAGTAGTGCGCCTGTTCCATCAGTCAGGCAGAAACCTCAGAATTCATGGAGCATTATGTAGAATACACAGAGGAGTCTTGCCTCAGTATGAGAAATAATTAGTCCTAGATTGCGCACTGTTCTAGTACCACCTAGTAAATACTAAAAGCAAGACTTGAAAGGATCAGGTTGCTTCCAAGTAACTTAATTTGTCCCTGAAAAAAATCTTAAGAATACAGAAATATCCATTGCCCAAGAAGGTAAAATTCACAATGTCTTGCATCCAATAAAAAAATTACGAGGCATGAAAAAAAGCAGAAAAAAATGCATAAGATATAAATCAATGAGTAAATCAAATTGACCCAGATGTTAGAATTTGCAGGAAAAGACATTGAAAGATTAATTACAACCGTATTCTATATGTTTAGAAAGTAAAAACATGGAAGCTATAAGATAGACCCGAATACAACTTCTAGAGATGAAAACTTCAATGTCTGAAATGAAAAATACATAGGCTTTGATTAAGACAGATTAGACATTGCAGAATAAAAAGATTAATGAACTTATATGTGTAATTGGAGTCTCTGAAAAAGGGAGACAGAGACAGAAAAAGCATTTGAAGAAATAATGGCCAAAGTTTCCCTAAGTCTAATGAAAACTCTAAGTCTATGGATCCAAAAAGTTTGTCAAAACCCAAGTGCAAAGAATATGAAGCAAACTATGCCACAGAACATTAAAATCAAATTGCTTAAAACCAGTGATAAAGAGAAAATCTTAAAAGCAGCCAGAATCAGTAAAAACATGTTACATTCAAAAAAGATAAGGATGACAATAGTTATTAAATAACAAATTATAAATAAGGATGATTTATCATCAGAAATTTCACAAGTGAGAAGTCTATAGAGCAACAATCTTTAAAGAATAAAAGAAAAATAAAAACTTTCAACCCAGCATTACTATCCAGAAAAAAACTTTCAAAAACTTAGGTGAAATGAAGTTTTTTTTAAACATAAAAAAACTAAAATAATTTATTTCCAGCAGATCTACACTACTACTTATAATAAAAACAGGCCTTTTAGGCAGAAGGAAAATAACACTAGATGGAAATATGGGTCTACAAAAAAGAATACAGAGTGCTAGAAATGGCAAAATATATGTTTTCTTTGTTATTTGAATCACTTCAAAAGCAAATTTATTATTTTAAAACAAAATAATCATATATTGTGCAATTTGAAACATATGTATAAACAAAATATATGGCAACACCAGCCCCAAGGCAGAAGGGGAAAAAAATGGAAGTATACTATTGTTAGGATCTCATATGTGAAGTGCATTAATAGCACTTGAAAGTAGACTGTGATATGTTAAAGATGTATACTGCAACCCTAATGAAACCACTAAAATAACAAAATAAAGGATAATAGTAAATAAGAAAATGAAATAAAATGGAATAAGTAATATTCCTGGAATACATAGAAAAGAAGGCAGAATATGAAGAAAAAAGAAAACATGGAAAAATGGGGTATATAAAAAACAAATAATGAGATGGTGGATTTAAACCTAACCATATCAAAAATCAAATTAAATATAAATGTCCTAAATACCTTAACAGGGAGAAATTGGTATACTGGATAAAAAGCAAGAGTACACCACATGTCACCTTCAAGAATTGCACTTTATAGTTTTAGGTCTAACATTTAAGTCGTTAACCCATCTCGAATTAATTTTTGTATGAGATGTAAGGAAGGGATCCAGTTTCAGCTTTCTACATATGGCTAGCCAGTTTTCTCAGCACCATTTATTAAATAGGGAATCCTTTCCCCATTGCTTGTTTTTGTCAGGTTTGTCAAAGATCTGATGGTTGTAGATGTGTGGTATTATTCGTGGGGGCTCTATTCTGTTCCATTGGTCTTTATCTCTGTTTTGGTACCAGTACCATGCTGTTTTGGTTACTGTAGCCTTGTAGTATAGTTTGAAGTCAGGAGTGTATTGGCCTCCAGCTTTGTTCTTTTTGGCTATAGGATGTGGTTTCTTGGCAATGCAGTGTCTTTGTGGTTCCATAGGGAACTTGGAAGTAGTGTTTTTTTCCAGTTCGGAGAAAGGTCAATGGGTAGCTGATAGGAGAATTGAATCTATAATTACCTTAAGGCAGTCATGACCATTTTCCACAATATATTCTTCTTATCCATGAGGCATGGAATGTTCTTCCATTTGTTTGTGTCCTTCTTTTATTCGTTGAGCAAGTGGTTTGTAGTTCCTTCAAGGAGTTCTCCTTTCACATCCCTTGTAAGTTGGATCCATAGGTTATTTTATTCTCTTTGAAGCA